TTAAAAAAATTGCAACTCAACAAAAGTAATTCACTAAAATCACCATATATGAAACGTGACTTCCACGACAAAAAATAGGTTTCAATCTGAAACTGAAACTCTGAAGCATAACTTGTTAGGGGACGCTTTATTAGATTTTAAAGAAGTTTATGACGTATGGAAATCGCGCTTCACATATGGTAAATGTTTCCTCAAACAAGTTATGCTTCACAGTTATTGAAAGTTCTTTTTTGTACAACAAACGTTCGAATTAGAAAAATAATATTTTTAAAAGAATCATTGTGAACGCTTTATTGGATTTTAAAGAAGTTGATGATGCTGTTGAAGTCACTCTTCATTTATGGTGATTTTGGTGAGTTAATTTTGTAGAATTGCAATTTTTTTAAAAAAATATTTGTAAATTATCACGTGCGAACATAATGAATGAAGGGAACAAAATATAGACTATAGTGGATGATGAATGAAGTGTAATATTTCAAAGATGAGTGATCATTAGGAAGCATTTTGAAGTTCGATGAGTAAATTGTGACAAAGTGTAAGTTGGATGAGTAATAAAACAATGGTTTGGCCGAGTTGTCATTTTTTTAACAACCGTTACTTGTCATGTCAGATTTTCATTAGCCACATCAACGAATAAGGTAACGAATTTTTGAGAGTGATGGCGAAGTATAAATGGATAAAGTTGAGTGAGCACTATAAAACACTTTAAAATTTAGTGTGCAATTCGTGAACAATTCGTGAAGATGGGTAAATTACATAAACAATTGACCCATTCTCGTTCCTAACGAAGCCTTTCATAAAACTCAGCCACTCACTCCAACTTCAAAACGTAACCGCATCCTCCATTGCTACTTTCTCCACCTCTCCCAGTACATATACAGTGAGAGGGTGAGGGTTTTGCTGAAGCAATGGAGATGGCTATTGGGTTACACTCACACACTCGTGTTCTCCCCTCTACTTTCTCCATATCAACAAAAAATATTGGAGCGAAAAAGAGAAACTTTGTTAATAATTTTTCTTTTTCTGGGCTTAAAAGAGAAACTTTCGGGTGCAACTTATCTTTGGTTAAGAAATCGAGTTTTAATGTTAGTTCGAGAATCCCATTTCGTAATTCT